TAGACCTTGATAGACCAAATAACATACTTCTTTGGCATCTAATATGGAAATCATATTTTATCCTGAACTCATTATTTCCCACCATTTTAAATAATACTGAATTTCATTTAATGTTAGAGCTTTTGAAACATGGCAAAATTAGTTCAGAATAGACAATGCAAGTTCTAAATTGGAAAGCTGTAAATGGAAATTCCTTGATTTACCTTTTGATTATCAGTTTCTTCAGTAATAAAAATGGGAATAGTAACAACCTCATTAGGTTGAGATAAAATTGAAATGAATGCAAAACGCTTTGAGGCAAAAAAGGGTTAGTGACATAAAAGAATATTAAAACTGGCTGAAGGGGAAGATAGTATTTAATACAGTGACATAACCAGATCAAATAAATTAAATAATGATGGCAAAATCACAGCTCATGAAATCAAATCATCTTGTTTAAACTCATACTAGAAAGTTGACAATAGTATATTTTAAAGTGTGCTTATGTCTCTGAAAATTTACAGATGTTTGAGATAATTACTAAAATTGAACAACACTGATCATCAGTGATAAGTTTCACAATCAACGATCATTTATTAAGCATCAACTTGTTGATGTGCAGTGCGACAAAAACAAGACTAGGTCCATGCCCTCAAGGGGTTTACCACAGGTCTGAAAGATAAGACCTGGGCTAATACAAGAGATCTTGTACATATTGCTTCTGTTAATGGCACTAGTAATCCTGCACTGTAACTTTTTTTTTTCTTGTTTTCTCTGTAAGCTTCTTAAGGGTCCATGTCATATTTATCTTGGCATCTCTAGTACCTGGTACACTGAGGAGATTAATATAAATGTATTGAATACACTGACAGATGGACCTAAGTAAATACAAACCAAACAGAATTAAATAATATTAAAAAGTTATTAAGAAAATTCTCCACAACACAGACTAGGCACCAATGATTTCTAATTGTCAAGATTGGAAAATGCTTCATAAACTCAGGTGATGAACTCAGGCCTTGAATAATGAGCTGTCAGGAATCTAACAGGAAACAGGAGGGAAGCAGCATTCCAGCACTAGAGGAGAGCATGAAAAATTCCACAACATGGAAAATGAAAAGCACAAAACCTGTTTGTTGAATAATGCCAGAAGCCCTTGTCTAAAAGGGAACTGGGTATGAATTACAGAAGCTGAGTGAGTCCATTCTTCTTCAGGCCACAGGGAGTCATAGAAAGTTCTGGATTAGGCACATAGCATGATTATAAACGTGCTTTGAGTAGAGTGATTGGGCTGCTACGCATGGAATGGACTGGAAGTGGAAAAACACTAGATCCCAAGAAACAAACGATTAAGTGACTGTAGACAGGAGGTAAAAAGGATCTGAAACAGAGCAATAAAAATGGAATAGAACTGATGAATGTGAGAAAACTACATATAATGATCCCCTAAATTTGTATTTCAAAATATAAAATATATATCCCTGAACTATCTACCCACTCCTGGTTTAATTACATTTTTAGTCTAATAAATCACTGACATTACTTAATTTGAAATACTCCAATAGACTCCTAGTTGCCCTTCCAGCTTCCATTGTTACATCTACCTTCGCCCCACTGCCCAGCAGCCATAATTATCTTTTTAGGTATCATGCCACTGCCCAATGTCCTCCAAACACTTTCCATTGCAACTGGAATAAATCCTTATTTCTCACTGTGTTCCACAAGACTGTCTGGCCTTTGCTCTCCTCTCAGATTTCCTTCTTTAAAGCACTTTCTCTAGCCATGCCTGCCTTCTTTTTGTTCCTCTAAACACTGAGTTCGTTTTCATGGAGAAACTAACTTTGCCCTAGCTACTCCCTCTGCCTACATGTTCTTGCCCTAGTTCTTCATGTGACTGGCCTTTACATTTTTTCACATCTCAGCTCAAACGTCATCTTCTCAAAGCCGTCTTCTCCAATCATTATTCCTAAAATAGCCACAGCTATCCCACTGGCTACTCTCCTCCTAGCTGTCCAGTTACCCTGCTTTATTCCTTCAAAGGAATTATCATCCTCTGTAATTATCCTCTTTATCTATAGATGCTTGTTGTCTCACCAGTCTCCCCCCAATCACACTAAATTATACAACTTGTGATAGCAGCATCCCGTCTGCATTATTCACCACTCTGTTCCCCACAGTGCAAAGGGCAATTCTGGAACACAGCAGATGCTCCATAAATATACATTAAAAAAAATTCTTATCACAAAGGCTAGTAGACAAGTAACACTTTGTAACCTTATCTGGGCTATACTTCTTTTCCTTCCCTATTTTATTAGGAAATTCCTCATAGACTGAAATAAAAATCATATATTTTAGATCATGTAGTGCCTTATAAAGATGTAAAGTAGTAAATTTGTACAAGCTATTCAGCTTTTACAATTAAATAATTTGGTGGTCTTAAAATAAGACTGATCGCCTTACCTCACAAGCTAAGTATTTGTATAAAAATAACAAGGAGACTTAATCTAAAAGTGGAGAGAGCCATGGGAGAGTCTTCAAGAGAAGATATGGAATCCTCCTATGATGGTTAATATTGAGTGTCAACTTGATTGGATTGAGGGATACAAAGTATTGTTCTTGGGTGTGTCTGTGAGGTTGTTGCCACAGGAGATTAATATTTGAGTTAGTGGACTCAGAGAGGCAGACCCACCCTCAATCTGGATGGGCACCATCTAATCAGCTGCCAGCATGGTTAGAACAAAGCAGGCAGAAGAAGGTGGAAAGAGCAGGCTTGCTGAGTCTTCTGGCCTTCATCTTTCTCATGTGGTACATGCTTCCTGCACTCGAACATCAGACTCCAAGTTCTTCAGCTTCAGACTCCAGGTGGTTTGCCAGGGGCTCTTGGGCCTTCGGCCACAGACTGAAGGCTGCACTGTCAGCTTCCCTGCTTTTAAGGTTCTGGGACTCAGGCTGGCTTCCTTGCTAGTCAGCTTGCAGATGACCTACTGTGGGACTTCACCACAATCATGTGAGTCAACACTCCTTAATAAACTCCCCTTCATATATACATCTATCCTATTAGTTCTATCCCTCTAGAGAACTCTGAACAACACACTTCCCTACTATGCTATTAACTAAAGGGCATCCTAGCTACCTGCCTTGAATCAGTGGTTTGCCATTTTAATTAAAATACACGAGTAGAGATACATTTTAAGAAAAACACTAGTTACATACATACACATACACACACACACATGTATTATGTATATATGTATCTGTGTATATATCTTGCATTTTTATAAGAAAAAAACAGAAAATATAGAAGTTTTCAAGACCACTTTCTTTCATAACAAAGCAGAAATGTTTGAACTAAGTAACCAAAATGATAAACAAATTCCCAGTATCACTGCCTATTTGGTGTGGCTATCAGAATTTTATTTTCCCCCTTTCTTGTTTGCTACTTCTTTAAGTCAATCTGGCCCCCTGGCCTCTGACTCTGTGACTTGGCACCAGCGCTGTGGCCCCTCCATTTCCATTTGATAACTGTAGAGAAATTATTTATAATCCTGTTCATTAGACAGATCAATCTGAAGTTGGCAAGTTTTTAATGTAACTATCTAGCATTTTAAAAAAGAGATACCTTTACAGTTTGGTTAACAATATATACTGCACAATTTGTTTTTAAAAGGCCTGTTTACTACCACTGTTTACCTATATACTTAAATGATTGAGGAAATTCCTTCTTTTGTTTTATTCAAACATTCATTGAATGCCAGGACTCCTGTGTGCTAATAAAATGGTGCTCTACTTTCTGCATCTATATACTAGAGAGACCAAGCACTATCACCCACATCTCTGAGAGTGGCTTCCCTAACTGGGTTACTCCTGAGTTAAATGGATAACTCAAGCTAATCAAAATGATCCCATACTTCTCACCCCATACTCTACTACCACTGATAATTACCTGTGGTTTCATTGTACTCTAAATCTATGATTCCTCTGAATTATTTTCATTTAAAAGAACATTTATTTGTTAAATATGTAGTACAAATTTAGTAGTTCATGTCATCTCATTATTCAGTGTTTCTGACATGCAAAGAAATGAGTATCAGACAGTGAGCGGCCCTGACATTATAAAAGGTTTAGTAGGAATTGAACTAGAAGCAGAGCACACAGGAAAAGCTGGAGAAGGACTTGGGGGAAGCCACTAGAGATACTCATAATTCTGCACATACCTAATCCCAGATCCTAAGGATTACATTCTTTACTAACATTTATACAATGATTTACAGTTTAAAGTGTAAACCTAACTAATTTACTACTATTCTGACCACAAAAATCCTATGATATGGTTACTGCTGTTTAAGAGAAGAGGACACTGGGAGGGAAAGATGTTGAAGTAATTTTCCCACAATTATAGCATCTGTTAGTTGGACTCTACCTACGATCTTCTGAGACAAATTGCATTTACTTCTCACCATATGACTCAGTAAGATGAGGTCGAATATATCAAAGTTATGGACATTAAGCTAAGTAAGAAATTACTCTTTTATATAATAAACACTGAGCAGACTGAAAGAAGAGATTGTCTGTAAACCTGAATAGCTTCAAGAGGAAGAAAAATCAAACACAGGGTAAGAATAACAGTTGTCATATAACAAGTAACTTGGTTGGAAGGGGATTCAAATGCATAAAGTAAGGGATAAAATTTTCTGGCAACAACAATATGACTATACAATATAACCTTAAAAAGATGCATATGACTTCAAAGAACTTGGAAATTGATAAAACTAATTAAATATTATTGAAGATCATCAATATTATAAATGTAACTTACTTTTAAACGGAACATAGAAATCTGTATTGCTAGAGTAGAAAACAATCCTTATTATCACAATTTGTCAAAATAAGTTTGTCATTAATACAAGTAGAATATTGCATTCAATTAATGTGCCTCTGTAGATTTTGTGTTTTGTTAAAATTAGAAAGAGATAGCAACAATTTTCAATTATTGAAAGTAATATGTAAATAGTTCTACATACGTTCTTTTGACATCTTGTTCAATCATTGATCGAAGTTCTTTATCTTGGAAGAATTTGTTCCAAAGACTCTATAATAAGGAAAATAATCTATTATGTAGTCTCACATCTTTGCTTTACTTTTAATAATTTTGATTTAATAATTTAAATGGTTAAATTTATTCTTCTCTGAGTTACCATTTCACATTGCAGATAAAAAATCTGAGACTGGGGTAATTTTTATTAAAATCTAGTTTAATCTCAGAAACACATCTTTATTCTAATATCAATTTTTTCCAGTTTAATATTATTGTATAAAGTCAGCCCTCCTCATCTGCAGGTTCCACAACAAAAATCCAACCAACTGTGGATCAAAAATATCAGGAAAAAATTAAAAATAGCAATACGACAATAAAAAATACAAATTAAAAACAGCACAGTATAACAACTTTATTTAGCATTTACATTGTGTTAAGTATTATGAGTAATCTAGAGATTATTTAAAGTATACAGGAGGATGTACACAGGTTACACGGAAATATTATGCCATTTTATAGAAGAAACTTGATCACCTGCAGACTGTGGTATCCATGAGGGGCCTGGAACCAATCCCCTATGAATAATGAGAAACTAGTGTATATTCTTAAAATTTCTATTATCTATTTAAAGTGAACAATACTTTTCACTGACATGTGCTACTGCTACTACCCCTGTAACAATAAAAAGGTGCTTGGATTACAGCAGGACCCATGGGCCAACTGTCCCCAGCTTGAACCTGACCTGAATTCCCAATGCACTAAGAAAGATAGGTAAAGTTTTCTGCAGAGCTTGGTTTTACAATCCAGTAAGTTTTTACATACATTTTAAAATCTGAATTTAAGGGAAAGTTTTTGAAAATTACTTAACATTGTATGCTCTTATACCGAAGACTCTATAAATACTTATGTATCAAGTAAGAGAAATGCTAACACTATGTATTAGAAGAAAAAATGTGTTTTTAGGTAAATAGGCAAAAACTAGAGCACTAACACTTGTAAAGCTACATAATAGCTTTAAAGTAGTAATTACTCCTTCTCTTCACTAGCATACGAGAAGTAAACCTGATATTTTAAAAACTTCTTCATAGACTTACTAGAAATGGTTACTTCCTTCTTCCTGTGAGTTAATCCTATTAAGTGAGCCCTTCTTTATTTTTATCATGAAGGGAGGCTTTCCTTAGCTATGCAGTTCCCCATTGCCACCCTGACAAGACAATTCTATTCTCATTTTTATGCTCTTATATTTTACCCTTAGTTTTTACAGAATCCCAGGATTTCTTTGCATTGTCATTCCACAGAAATAGATCATAAATTTCCTAGAACAGTGTGTGTGTGTCTGTGTGTACACATATATATTTATATGGTGGTACTATATGTGGAGTAAAGAAAATGGCATGAAATATACTGCTTTTATGGTGATTGGCAGCCAGTCACATAAACATATTCTTAGAAGTAAAAGAGGTTAAGATATGAATAAAGATGAACTTTACCCCTTCATCCTGTGAAAGAGGATTATTGATCATCAAATCTTGTTGGCCAACAACCTTCCTTGGGTTTGTAATATGCTAGTTAAGAAAGAGAAAACACACACAAGGATCAGAGGCTACTGGACTTTAAAGTGTACATAAGAAAACACTTATGTTAATTAAATGTACAGTTTACTTACTATTTCTTTAATGTTGCTATACCATGCTCTTAATTCTTCAATTCTATTTATCCATTGATTTTTGTCTTGAGGAAGAACACAAAGAAATAGCTATCAAGAAAAACAGAAGAAACTTTTGTAAAAATCATCAGATATAAAATGTAAAACTATGCCAAACTGAACCACCTGAAAATCGGAGACAATATTCATGATATTTCATATTTATATCATCATCCCAGTCCTTAACAATTTGTTTGGAGATATTTAAGAAATATATAATCAGAAAACTCAAAAAGTGACCAAAGGCCAAAAAGCAAGATCACAAAAGCTACACCACAAAATAGAATCAAGCTCCCCTTCAGATTTACATTAATAAGGAAGAAAAATTCATTGAGGTTCAAATATAACTCACATTTTATATTCCAGTCTTAATGGGAGTGGTAGAGGATTATTAAGAAGCACAAAGTCTGGTAAGGAATTACTACACTAAGGTTTTGCTTTAAAACAAGCAGGTAAAAGATAGTGAACAGCAGCCTCACTGGGGGCACAGCCTGAGGCATTAAAGCATTCCCTTTACAGAAAAAATGTAATTTAAAGCTGGCAGTCAGCTTATGAAAATAACAAACATTCTTAAAATGACAAATTTGATTTAATTTAGTTTAATACAATATTAAAATAAACCTGGATTTAGGTTTATTTTTAACAAATGAAAGATACAAAAAGTTAAACAACAGGGAATGGGGGTGGGGCACAAATACTTGTATACAAATATTCTAGCAGCAGGTCTCCTGCCTTTAATGCCTGCATCTAAAAGAAGAAAAATGTGTTTTAATTATTAAATCTAAATTATTAAATTTAAAACTGTCTATTACGTGCTTCTTTTGTCTTTACTTGCACAGACTCGGTAAGCTTAATTTATGCAGATAATCCTAAAAACTTCTGATAGAAGTCACTCTAGAAATAAGTCTAAACCTAAATAAATTCATGTTTAGAAAACAAAAACAAACAATATTTCAAAGCAATGAAAAAGATACTATAGACTATTATTATTAGTTTTGGTAAGCAGTGTACCTTTTCCTCTAAAGGAGAGTGATCCAATTTCCTTCCACTTCTCGCCACCCCTCATTTTGTGTTTCTACTAAAAGAAATGTGGAAAATATTTTCCTGCTGCCATTTATGAAGAACAAAGGGAAGATAACTAAATGATGGCACTTGATATAATATGAACCTAAAAGTTAATCCCCCACCATTGCCTTTTCCTGAAAAACTTCAAGAATTTCTGCAAAAGCCTCTGGGGAATGTAAAAGTGTTGCTCTTAATTTGGTACCATCAAAACAGTTGAAAAGGTAGTTATTTCATATGACTCTTTTTGCCATTACCACTTACTCAGGAGCAAGGTGGTTCAACCTTATTAGTAAATGTCCTATAAGCATAGATGATCAAAGTAATGGGAGTGAAGTCTCTTGGAAAATTCAGTGATCCCTGCATGGCTAATCTTCTAGGGCATCAGGTAATGTGTTGATATATTGCAACCAGAAACTGTAAATAAATATTTTCTTCTTACCTTCCAGCAAATGCTGCGGAACCTGCTGCTTCTCAGCTGCCCATTAATCCCCTTCTGCCTTATTGTTGCCAAGTAATTGTTGTTTACAAATAGTTCTTCCCATTCTTTCCTATATGAAAGAAACCAAAGGATGAGAATCCTTTTGTTAAAATTCCTCTGCTTGGAGAGAAGTACTATGGGAAATTAATTTTAAGTAAGGCTAAAAAATGCAACTTTTAAAACATATATATTTAGTTGTGTACTGTTTCTGAATGCATGGCTGTCTTTTTGGACACAGTTCTTCCGCAGATTTAATGAATATGTAGATAGCTATAATTACGCCAGCTACTGAAATTCATAATGTCTACGGAGGCTATTCCATTTCCTCTAAAGTGTTGATAGTGCAGTTCAGTGAGTAAACAAGAAAAAAATGAATATTAATATAAATATATGACTGTTTTAGCCAATGACGAAAACATACCTGCCCCAAAAATATGCAACAAAGAAATGTAACATTGATTATATTGGCTTCTTATGTGAAATATCTGTTTAAATGAACCTGTTTCTCTGTAATGTCAGGCTGGACAGTAAAGTATAACAGAAGACTACTTTAACTGTTAGTGCCACTTCTACTGAAATTGCAACTTCTTTCTAATGATCAGTTTTAAAATTTTAACAGGTGTGGGCAAATTTGAAAAAAAAAATCAAAAAATTTAAAAGCCTCACTGTAAAAACTGTTAAAGGCAAGCTTGAGTACCTTGCAGTACCTATGGCTGAGTAGATAAACAACTGAAATATGCCTCCCAGGCATGCAGACACCAGGGGCCTAACACCTGTGCCTCATTAATATACAAGTAAATCTGCTCTACTGGGAAACAATTGGAAATTAATTGTCCCAAACCATTTACTGAGTTTGAATAAAGGAATTAGACCTATGTTCCCTGCATCTTGCACTAAACTAAACATTAAGAATCATTTGAGTAGAGGCTACTGAGATTAGCTTTATGAAATTTCTCTCAAATTCCATCATATCACAATAAAATTTACATATAATTTAACATTTATTATCAAAGCTGAAACCCTGACGGCAATATCTTGAGAGATTTCTGAAAAAGAAAGCCACTAATACACTCAATCATTCTTCTGTTTTATATGCACGCAGTTGTCGCTGGCTAGACCCTACTCATTTTAAGAAATGATAAACTTGCAAGCTATGCTTAGAATAATGAACTGTACACAAAAAGTTCAAAACTTGACTATGGCACAAAATGCATCTTCTCCACACAGTTCCAGAAGAGTGACCAAAGACAATGACACATTCCCTACTGCCACCAGCAGAACTTCCAGCTTTAACCCAGCAGGGCTGTGATCCTCAATCACACCAAGCCTTCTGCCAATAGTGGCTTCTGGCTAAGATTGCTAAATGAGACACACATTCCAACCTATGCTAGAAGAAATGCATTTCTATCACCACTGCACAAAAATGTCTTATTCTCATCACTTTTATCAGTTTAAAAAATTGGTTTTACTTTAACTTGTACTATTAGTCAAACTAAAAACTTGTTCATGCTTTTAGGTCATTTTATTGCTTCCTTTGTAAAAATCTGCTTTTTGCGCTTTGCCCATTTTATGTGGTACAGAATAATGGGTTAAGAGAATAGATATCAGAGCCACATGCTTGGGATCAGAAAGACAGCCATGCAGTAAGAAAAGGTACACAGCTTACTAGCTACTTACTAGATAATGCAAGCATGGGCAAATTTCTTAACCTCTCTGTGCCTTAGTTTCCTCATCTGTAAAATGAAATAATAATAGAATCTACTTAAAATAATTATTGTGAGAATTTCAAAAATACATGAAAAGCCCTCAGAGGGTGCTCACGCTCTCTCTCGTGTGCGTGCGCGCTCTCTCGCTCTCTCTCTCTCTCTCTCTCTCTCTCTCTCTCATTCACCTTTTTTAAAAAGAGACAAGGTCTCACTTGGTCATCAGGATGGAATACAGTGGTGCAGTCACAGCTCACTTTAACCTTGAACTCCTTAGGCTCAAGCAATACTTCCACCTCAGCCTCCACTGTAGTTGAGGCTACTCAGGAGGTACCACAGGCACACACCATCATACCTGGCTAATTTTGTAATTTTTTGTAGAAACTGGGTTTTGCCATGTTGCTCAGACTGGTCTACAAAGGGCCTTACATGATTCTCCCTCCTCACCCTCCTGAAGTGCTGGAATTATAGGTGTGAGCTAGTGTGTCCATATCCCATACTTTTAAAAATTAATATTTTTGTTAAACTGCTTTTATTTTAGTGTGTCTTATTATTGATTAAAGAGAGAAGATTTTCATACATTAAAGACATCATGCCTTCATCAGCCAATTTTTAACCCAATTGTCTTAATTTTCAATATATCAAGGCTTTTAAAATTTGTGTATAATTAAGATCTAACATTATTTTCTCTTATTGATCTTTCCATTGTTTTCTCTTGCTTAAGTAATTACTAGCCACTCCAACACTAAATAAATATTCATTGAAATCTTGTGAGTTTTTTTCCCCCACTTTAATCCATTTACACATACATACTGACATCTCATAGTGTTCAATACTGCATCTCATACTGTCTCATACTGCACATACGTACTGACATCTCATAATGTTCAAATTTTTTGTCTAGTTTTTAGCAATATTCAAAGACAAAATTAGCAATGCGTACATTAGAGGAGTACAGGCATATCTCATTTTATGTCACTTCATTTTACTGCACTTCATAGGTACTGCATTTTAATAAACTGAAGGTTTGCGGCAACCTTGCATTGAGCAAGTCTATCGGCATGTGCTCACTTCGTGTCTCCTGTGTTGTATTTTGATAATCTTCACAATATTCCCAACTCTTTCACTATATCTGTTACGGTGACATGTGATCAGTGATCTCTGATGTCACTATTCTAACTGTTAGGAAGCAAAATGAACCACAACTATGTAAGACAGTGAACTTAACTGATAAATGTATGTGTTCTGGCCATGACACTAAACAGACAGTCTCTTCCCTCTCCTTGAACCTCCCTAATAACGCTACAATGGCCTTGTAATGTTCGAGTGAAAAGAGGAGTCATAGGTCTCTAAATTTAAATCAAGAAGCTAGAAGTAATTAAGGTTAGTGAGGAAGGTATATCTAAAGCCAAGTTAGACCAAAAGCTTGGTCTCTCGCACTAAACAGGTAGCCCAGTGGTGAATGCAAAAAAAAAAAAAAAAAAAAAAGTTCTTAAAGGAACTCCAAAGTGCTACTCCAATAAACTCATGAATGATGAGAAAGCAAAACAGTCACAACATCCCCTTAAGCCAAAGCTTAATACTAGAGCAAAGCCCTAACTCTCTTCAATTCTAAGAAGGCTGAGAGCAGTGAAGAGGCTGCCAAAGAGAAGTTGGAAGGTAGCAGAGGCTGGTTCATGAAGTTTATAAAAGAAAAGAAGCCATCTCCATAACATGATATTGCAAGGTGAAGCAGCAAGTGCTGACTGAGAAGCTGCAGCAGGTTACACAGAAGATCAAGCCAAGATAACTGTTGAAGGTAGCTACAATAAACAATAGATATTCAATGTAGACAAAACATCCTTCTATTGAAGGAGGACGCCATCTAGGACTTTCACAGCTAGGGAGGAGAAGCCAAGGCCTAGTTTTAAAGCTTAAAAGGACAGGCTTCTCTCTTGTTACAGGATAATGCAGTTGGTAACGAAACTGAAGCCAATCGTTAACCATTCTGAAAGTCCTAGAGGCTGTAAGCATTATGCTAAATCTACTCTCCTTGTGCCCTATAAATGGAATAACAAAGCCTGGATGACAGCATATCTGTTAGCAACATGGTTTACAGAATATTTTAGGCCCACTTTTGGAAATTATTGCTCAGAAAAAAAAGAAAGGTTCCTTTCAAAATATTATTGTTCATTGACAATATCCCTCATCACCCAAGAGCTCTGATGACTATGTACAAAGAGATTAATGTTGTGTTCATGTCTGCTAACACAAAATCCATTCTGCAGCCCATGAATTGGGGAGTCATTTCTAATTTGAAGGTTTATTATTTAAGAAATACATTTCATAGGCTATAGCTGCCATAGATAGTGATTTCTCTAACAGATCTGGGAAAAGTAAATTCAAATTCTTCTGGAAAGGATTCATTATCTAGATGTCATTAAGAACATTAGAGATTCATGGAAGGAGGTCAGAATAGCAATATGAACAGGAGTTTTTAAAAGTTAATTCCAGTCCTCATGGATGACTTGGAGGGGTTTCAAGACTTCAGGTGAAGAAGTAACCACAGATGGAGAAAAATAACAAGAGAACTAGAATTAGAAAAGGAGCCTGCCGGGCGTGGTGGCTCAAGCCTGTAATTTCAGCACTTTGGGAGGCCAAGGCAGGTGGATCACGAGGTCAAGAGATCGAGACCATCCCGGTCAACATGGTGAAACCCTGTCTCTACTAAAAATACAAAACATTAGCTGGGCATGGTGGCGCGTGCCTGTAATCCCAGCTACTCGTGATGCTGAGGCAGGAGAATTGCCTGAACCCAGGAGGCGGAGGCTGCGGTGAGCCGAGATTGTGCCATTGCACTCCAGCCTGGATAACAAGAGTGAAACTCCATCTCAAAAAAAAAAAAAAAGGAGCCTGAAGATGTGACTGAATAATAAAACTTTGAATGGATTAGGAGCTATTCTTATGAATGAGCATAGAAAGTGGGTTCTTGAGATAGAATCTACTGCTGGTGAAGATGCTGCAAATATTGTTGAAATGACAACAAAGAACTTAGAATATTTAATAAACTTAGAAAGCAGCCGCAGAGTTTGAGAAGACTGAGTCCAATTTTGAAAGAAGTGTTACTCTGGGTAAGATGCTATCAGACAGAATCTCATGCTATGGAGAAATCTTTATTGAAAAGAAGATCAAATCCATGTGGCATACTTCATTTTTTTTTTTTTTTTTTTTTTTTTAAGAAATTGCCACAGTTAACCCAGTTTTCAGCAACCACTACCTTGACTAGCGGGAAGCTATCAACAAGGCAACACCCTCTACCAGCAAAAAAGATGAAGAGCCGCTGAAGGCTCAGATGATCCTTAGCAATTTTTTTTTAAGCAATAAGGTA